AGAATGCCCTGCCCATTTCCCAGTTATGCCATCTCCTTTGTTTCCTGGCCCCTGGCGCTGCTCTTCGGGATGTGAGAGAACCAGTGGCAGGTAACTCTTCTCCACCTCACTAATGTTTTTAATTATATGGAGGCACAGAAATACGTAAAGTAGTTTGCAATGGAATTGAAAACCAAACATTATGAGGTTCTTCCATTTCATTAAAAATTACTTAATCTTTACATCATTCCTTACATTAAAGTCAAACAGAGTTTTACCAGGCAATTGCCTCAAAGTTAAACTCTGGAAAATCTTTCTGTAACGAAACCCATATGTCATGGGCGAAAGGTGCAAAGCCCTGGCAGAGAGGGCTGATCTCTTGAGAGTTCTGCACCCAATCTCGTTAACCAGGGTGCCTCTCTGGTAATCCTCCATCCCCTCATCGGTGGGAAATCAATCTGTACCACTGAATCTTTTTCAACCAGCCACCAGGAAATTTACTGCAGAGAAGGCAGTTTGGGGATAGTCATTGTGGAAAGGGAGCTAGAGGCAAGGCTAAATGTAGGATGGAAGAATTGGAGAATCTAAAGAAGACATTATATTAAACCACACAACAGCTTCAACAGCAGCAGGATGCAGTCCTCCCTACAGCCCTGACCTCTCTAAGTGTCCCCAGATATTTACAGCCGCCATGAACCTGACAGTCCTGAGTGTAGTCCTAGGGAAACTACAAAGCGGGCAATAGAAACAGCACAAACCTGGAAGCTGATTGTACTTCATCCATTTGCAGCCTTTAAATGTGTACAAGTGGTCCCCTCTCCCACACTCTGCAGCGATTCACGTGTTCCCCCTAGGGCGACAGTCTCTATTGTGGCTCTCTCAGTTTATGGTCTTACACTGCATAGGAGGGCCTATGAATCATGACCGCATGGAGGTCATGCTTCTCTTCTGCACGGCATACACTGCGGTGGCTGATGACCAGTGGATCCCTCTTGGCATAGTTATTAGAATGTGGAAGCCGCGTTGCCTTTCTGTTGAACCTGTAATCCTAGAGAATTTATCCAGAATTAGAAGATAGTTAAGAAATTGTATTGTCTCTAGATAAAACTCTCTCCAGCAATTTTATTTTCTCCAGGATTGTCTTCTAGCACACTGCAGAGAAAAGAACCAGTAGAGAAGGGAGGAACTAGACGTGCCAAACGGTACTCTTACCCTGGCCAGTAATTTGAGAAGTATACCAAGCTGTAACTATCCGGGGAAAGAAGGGATGGAAGTAGTCAGGGGAAAATAGAAATGTCTTCCTGTCCTCTGTAAGCAAACTGTAGACATCTCTAAAGGTTTTCCCCAAAGAGATTTGAAATCCTTGGTGAGAATTTTTTAGTAAAATGCATTTACATATAAAGCCCTACTGGAAGGGGGGGTGGGGGGCGGGGGGAGGGGTGTGTGTGTGTGTGTGTGTGTGCGCGCGCGCGCGCACACACACACACAGAATAGTAGCAGACGGCTGTCTCCCTACACCTAATGGGATTTTGTAGCAGCATGTGCGAGTTTGTTTCAGAAGTCAAAAATGAACAGATGTTGGTATAAATTACCTCTGTGTCGGATGTCTTGCAAATTAAAAGCGCGGTTGGCATCGCTAAACAATTTCCCTAGGTTTAGGCGGGGTGCGGCTAGCAGGCGGTGATTACTGTTTCAGGTCGGTAAGAATCTTCACACTGCAGGAGAGCAAGGATGAAGAAATGAGGAATAAAATAAGGGGTATGTGAATTAATCAGAGATGTTAACATCTCTGATGACAAGTGAACAGGAGGGCACGTGCTCTGGAGCAGCCCCTGACCCACAGCAATTTCTCTGTGCACAAAAAGGGGTTGGTGCTTACGATGTGATTTATAGGGTACGGCCCTCTTTTAGGGAGCAGCTATGTCACAAATTCGTATATCTCCTATATAGGACTAGCGAGTAGGAAAACTTTCTCCCCTCCCATGCAGAAGATGATGTCTTTTGAATTACTTGTACTTTTACGGTGGTTTCCTGCAGCTCTGTGTACTTAGATTAGGTTGAAGGGGGAGGAATGATTGAGTGGAAAAGGGGTTGTTAAAAGGGATTGGTTAAATTCAAGGAGAGCTTGCCACTGAGAGACTTTGGAATATCCATTTATTTTTCCTGTTAAATCCTTTTGATCACTTGATTATATTGAGTCTTTTTAAATTTTAAGTCTTAAAATCTTGGTCCTTCTCACATTTGGGGAAAAAATAAAGAATTAGGGGGATCTGAAGAGCAGCAAGCAGAAATAATCAGCAAGATCAGTAGAATGCTCCTGGCCCGGGATTTTTGGAACAAGGCTCCGTTCTTCCCAGCAGAGTCCTGTGTTACCCATGTTCGGTTTCCAGAGCATCTGCTTCTCGCCGGGCTGCAGGGTCATTTGATGCTGTCCTTAAGGTCCTTAATGAGAACGGGCGAGTAGGCAGAGAGCCCATCCAGTGGAAATAAGTGATGAGACCCACTCAGGCCAAAGCATAAGTCCGTTATCTGTAGGTCAGGCTGAGGAAAAAGATTCCAAGGAATGGATTTTTGAGATTTCTAGCCTCCCTTATCACAGTTAATTCATTTACTCACTCAGGAAATACTGTGTGCAAGAGAAGAAGCAGGCTACTTACCCTCCTCTGAAAGGTATTGTATTAATGATACCGTCATACCAAGCATGTTCATCACAGAATATCCAGAAGGGCAGGCAGGTGACATTAATATGCTAGTCATTGTACAGATGAAGAAACTGAGGCTCATACCCAGCTCATGGTGTCACCCATCTTCTAAATGCTAGAGCTGCAACTTACACTGAGTTCAAGTCCTGTGTCCTCTGAAAGAAGTCATGTGACTCCCATGGGCAAGAAAATTTTTTTTTAATTTCTTTTTCAATTATAATTTACATTTAGTATTATTCTGTCTTAGTCTCAGATGCACAGAAAAGTAGTTAGAAAATTATGTACTTTACAGAGTGGTCCCCCTACTGTTCTACTTCAGTGCCCACCTGGTCCCATGCCTGTTGTTGGGTTTCCTTTAGGGTAACTATTCCTTGTTCCCCTCTACCACCCCGCCCTGCCCCAGCCTCTCCATTAACCTGGCACTGTTTCCATTAAGGGAAATTATTTTTCTCCCTAAACAAGCAAGGTAAACTAAAAGAACCCCACAATATAGAGAATGGAGCACCAAGGGCCACTAACAAGTCTTACTGTTTGTCTGTGGAAGGAAAGAAACTTTGTTGTGATCCTTCTTGGTTCTAGTTCTTTGTGTATCACTCATCCAGCCAACAGTTATTCAGCAGATGCTGGGTCCAGCACTATGCTAGGTGCTGGTGATACAAAGAATAATAAAACAGCCCTGGCCGGTTGGTGAAGTTGGTTGGAGTGTCTCCCATGCACCAAAAGGTTGCATGTTCAATTCCTGGTCAGGGCACATACCTAGGTTGTGGCTTCAATCCTCAGTCAGGGCATGTGTGGGAGGCAGCCAATCAATGTTTCTCTCTCCCTCTCTCTCTAAGATCAATAAACAAATTCTTGAGTAAGGATAAAAAATACATGTATATATTAATATATATTTATATAATAATAAAACAACGCCTGCCCTCTCTTTTTACACTTCAGCAGAGGAAAACAAGTCTATAAACAAGTAATTGCAAATCTCATAGGAACTTTGTATGTATAGGGTTTGGTATAAATCCACCAAGGAAGGAACAGTCAGTTTGATTTGAGACAGGGTGGGGAAATGGGCACAGGAGGCAAGACCCAGCACTGAAATTTCCATTCCTAGTTGATGGGATTTCCTTTCTCTTTGTTGGAGCTCAGGAACTTGTGAAAGATGGAGAATGTATATAGTCCGCTGAAACCAAAAGCCTTCCTGTAGTTACAGAGTTGATATTGTTTTATTTCTTCGTCGCACAAATTAACCAGGAACTGTTACATTTAGGTGGTGGCAGGGGAAAGGCAGCAAAGAGGCCAGAACAGAGGTCCTCATCCCTGCAAGAGCCTCCCTAGCCACCTCACTTCTTTGGCCAAGATAGAGACCTGTTCTTGGGAGGCCACGGGACACAGCCTGCTGTATGTCCACGGCATGCTTCCAGAAGACTTCTGGCCTCCAGAGCAAGCCATCAGAAACCTCCTGCACTATTAAATCCATTTAAGAGATCTGAAAAGATGGGCTTGTGGAGATGAGGATGAAGAGGGTTTTAGGCTACAGATGATTTTTGAGGATTTGCTTGACAGAGCTAAAATGGGGCGTCTGGAGTAACCCTTGTAATTGAGAAATGTTTTACTTTCATTTCGGAGCCTCATATGCAGGAAAGTAGCTGTATAAACCCTCTTGTAACTACAGCCTTCAAAGATTGATAGTGCTGAAAGTCAGAGAAAGACACATAAACCTTGCCTGGCTATATTAAATATCTAAGGACTGACAATGCCAAGAGCGAGAAGACCAAAGCTCTATAAACCCTACTTTATTACTCCATCCACAGATGAACTGCACCCAGGGAATATAAACCCTGTTATATTACAGTACCCAGAGACTACCACTGAGGGGCAGGGTAAATGATCGCTAACTTTGGTTTGAGATTATAAATATCCAGAGACCAACAACCCAGAGAAGACTGTAATCTTGGTTGGATTTTAGCCTCCAAGAACAAACCCCCTGAGACAGTGAACATGAGTATTAGGTTACATTCTTGAGAAAGAGAGAGAGAGAGAGAGGTTTGGGGGTAATTTCCTGGTGATCTTTTTTTAAGGGTGGATGAGAAAGTCTACCCCCTTGGCCTGTGCTTTGTAGCAATTCCCAACTTCAGAACAACTTTGTCCATTTTCAGTTGTCAACAGTGGTTTGTTTTCCCCCTTTCTGGATGTTTGTGGTGATTGAATCTCTTAGGGTCCCCTGCATACAATGTAATCAATCTGCATTTTTAAATTAAATCTCCCTATAATCCTTTTTTCAGATTTTAGGTCTTCATTGATCTTTCATTTCCTCTGTGATTTCAGCCAGAGAGATGACCCGGGGGAAATTCCTCAACATTCTAGAGAAACCCAAGAAGTAGCAACAGCTTGTGGACAGGACGTCCCGGGGGCTGGAACCACATGCCCCTCCCCGTGCAGCTCCGATGGTGCGCCTCACTGCTCCCTGGCGAGGGGCTGGAGGCTGCACCTCCAGGACTGACCCTCTCCTGCTCCTGGTACTCTGCACCTCTGAGGACATGCGACAGCAAGAGAAGAATCTGTTCTACCCAAGGCTCAATGCAGTTATTCAGTCAGCTTCCAGACTTTGACCATCTGCCCCTCAGATGTTGGTAACAACAGAGGGCATGCCATTCTTAAAGGTCAAAGTCCTGCTTTCCCGTGTCTGGAAGTGACTCAGGAGCCCCAGGATCTTACAGTTGATTTGATTCTGTGATGGCAAAGTCTGTTGCGACAATGATTGGATGGGTAATTCTGAGTTATACTTAATCTCTTAGGAGGTATTTATGACGCGAGGAGCCCAGAAATCAATTAGATTCTGGACCAGACCATGTAGCTTGACCTGGGAACTCTCCAGTGTATGCTAGGTTCTAAGAATCCTCAGCTGGAGAAACCAGAATCTTCTAAACATGTATGCGTGCTTTTTAAATTCTATACCTCTCACCATAGTCCTGTACCCTAATGCCTTCCACTGCTCACCTCCCAGCCCCCACCACCCATTCTGACTCCGGGGAAGGGGATCCCTGTGTATCGAGTCCCTCCTGGGATCAGTTTGTGTAGTGAAAGGCCCATGCAAGGTTGCATTGACTTCTAGACCTCAAGACCAATTTAAAGGTGACAGAAAGGACTTTTGAGTTCTAGTTAATCTGTTACAGATTCAAGCGAGACAGTTAGTATGGCCTGAAGACAGGAAAAGGGGATTGATTGCAGGAGTTCCTATTTGATTAAAAACTAGAAACTCTGACTGACCTTGAAGGAATGTGCGTGCCGTGGAACGGTGGCAATGTTTTTGCCCTCTTGCCCCCTCTCACCGCACAGAGCAGATATTTCACCCATATGACAGAAACACACACATGAAAGAAAAAGAGAATTTCCTGACCTAAATATAACTCTTATGGAGCTCTTTGCCAATTATCTTTCTGTGTTAAAACCTGAAAGTCTAGCCTGTGGGTAATACCGATTACACATGTTCTCCATATTTTGTCTGATAAGCTAGCCCCCAGCCTCCAAAGTTTTTGAAAAATACATGGGGTTTCCTAAACTTTATGGAAAGAACGTCCATGTGGCAGTAGTCTGACGGTGTTTGGGCACAAGGAGAGTGGTGGTCGAGTGCTTGGCCCTGCATGTGTGTGGTGGGGGTGCAGCACGTGCCACTTAATAAGCAGCCCGTTAACCGTTTTCTGACATGTGCTTTATTTCACGTTGGATTTTTCTCTTGCTTGTGCCGTTTGACCACCCATGCAATTTTACTTATTGACAAGAATGAAAAAATTGAACACAAGACACAAAGGATGAATATGAGAGGGAAAACATTCTGCCCGGATGCCATGTACAATAGAATGTTAGGCGGTAGGGGCTTTGATTTTTAAGTTAAGCTTATATTGACATTCCTTATCTTAAATGCGGTTGAAGACTTTGTGTGTGCACAAAAAATAGTGTCATGATGTCACATTCTCCCTTTGCTCTGTTTTTGAGAGTTGATGACATCAAAAGGGGAATTGAGAAATATATAGAGTATATTGGGATACCTCCCCAAAACCAACTTGTCTGTAACCTGAAGCTGTGTAGCGGGGTTTTGGTCTGCTTTGGCCTCTTTCTTTTACTGTCATCTTACTCACCAGCACTTAATGTAAGTAGATGTTTTAGAATTGCGATATTTATTGGTTTTATATTTGTCCTCAGAAAAGCTAATAATGTGTTTTTATATTGATAATATAAATTTATGTGCAATGTGTGCATGCATGTATTTCAGGGTGTTAGAAGATTGTACTTTGTATATGATGTTTTCTGTGTCGTCATAATAAATATGTCCCTTTTATAGGAGAGTGAGTTTTTCTTCAAAGGGTCAAGTTGCATACTTAAAGCGTAGACCTCATCAGAAAGTGCAACTCTAATGAGAAATAATCCTCCATCTTCCCCTTCATGGGACAGTGGGCAGTGTGGGGCTGTATGGTCGCCTACTACATGGTCCCCCAGCTTCCAGTCTATCCTACCTGCCATCTAGCTCATTGCTCCCTAAAGTAGTATTTAAAAGCCTTTAATACCTCCTTGTGTCTACTAATAAAGTCTCTTATCCTGGCGTCTTAAACTCTCTGCATGTAATCCTAATTGTAATCCTAATTAACCCTCCACTTGGGTCTCCTTCCTCTCCAACATGTAAGTCTCTGTTCCAGTTAATCTGTGAACAATCCACAGTTCCTCACTCGAGTGCCTTCACCTGTGCTGTTGAGTTCCTAGAATGACATCCCTTTTGTACATATCAAACCTGTCCTTCCTATAAACCCCTGATGAGCCAGCTGGAAATAACCCTGCCCCTGCATCCCGGCAACCTTTATGTATAGCAGCCTCATGACTTACCACAGTCCGCCTTATACTGAAGTGATCCAAGTCCGTATCTCATTGCCCTACTAAATTACAAGCTCCTTGAGGTTTTGGCTATCTCCCTCACATCTATTTCTTCTTCAATGTTTTCTTTGAACTGAGGGCTCAAAACCTATCTATTTACAGACTACCAGTTAAATATGGTTTGAAAACAAATACTTCTCTGCCACCTAACTAAAATTCTTAGTATGAGGTCCTTTTTGACTCTATTTAAGAACCAGAGAAGAGGAAATACTAATCAGCACTACTACTGTCACCCCTCCATAAAACTATCAGTGCCCTTTTAGAGAAAACATTCCATTTTAAAGAAAGCAAACTGCTATGCGTCAGTGGCTCATCCCTGATTGTCAAGAAAACATCTGGATGGACCATAGGTTTCTGTGATCTGGGCATGCATGGCTGGTGGACTGACTTACTAAAAAGGGACAGCATGTGCATATTCTCTTCTAAATCTTTAGAGGTTATTTTTCCAATAACTAATCATCATTTGCCTAGAGGTTTGTCTTCCCTCTCCCTTTGCCTCCCTGGATACCATCCTTGTAGTACCTCTGTTGGCTCTGAGCACCACTGTGCTGAGGAGCAGGGCATTGGTTCTTGGAGGCACATTGTTAGACTCAAATCTTTTCTCACCAGCTGTCTCATTGCTTATTGCTCACTTTAGTCTCTCGATTTTAGGCCTCTGCTGATTAGCTTGGCTTTCATTCCATTGTTTGGGCACTAAGAATTCACAGGCTATCAATTGCATTGCTATCACAATGCCATCATTAATTCTTCTTGACCTTTTGTTACCCATTTATCATATTTTTAAAATGGATACTTGCTAACTGCTCCTTGTTTGGGGTTCTTTAGCTGGAGTTTATTGTAACTCCTCTGTCTTCTGGGAGCTAGATTCTAGCTCCAATGGCTTCTCCGTTGCCCCTGTGGCTTCCAAAGGGTGTTTGGACATCCATAGGAGCTTTGTACTAAAGGCAGGATCATTTCCGATGGGATGTTCTGGTCCCTTTTGTTTCCTCCCGGATTGAAGCATCACAAGCAAGTCAACTGGCAGAGCTGCAAGGGGGGAAATTGGCAGACAGTTCAAGGTCGGTGGTCCGAGGGGTCAGATAAGATGGTTTCTTACCAGTTCTCAACTTCTGCACAAACTCCATCTGCAAGCAGTTGGTCATGTTCTCCAGTTTCCGCTTCTTCATCCTTTGAGAGCTGCAGGACCACCTGATCGCAGCATGGGCTTCGTTTCCCCAGAGGAACCTCTGCCTTCAGAGTAGAAGGCACATGGGTCTTCCTGAGGTTGTAAGTCCTGACTGGCGTGTAGCTGACTTTTCCTGTCTGTTTAGGCTTTGGGGCATTTAGGGATGTGTCCCTCACTATGCCCGAGGAGGCCACTGGCCTTCCTGCCCTTTGCCCAACACTTTCTTCATGAGCAGAGGTGCTTGGGGCGTCAGGCAGCCCCAGGTGCTACTGCGAGGCTCCTGGCCGTGGCGTGCTGGCAGTGCCTGTTAATTAGCACATGAACACCCCAGTGCTCCATTAGCCAGGCCGGGCCTTCGGAGCCTTCGCCCTCCTGTGGGCCCCTTCCCCCTAATGAGAGCTGGAGAAGGGCCCTCACAAAACACTGCCTCAGAATAATATTCCGCTTTGTCCCCACCAGTAACCAGGGCTGACAGGATCACTCTGTCCAGTTCTCTTCTAATTAGCACAATTCCAGCATGGCCTGAGCCAGCAAACGGAGAAAAGCGATCAAAAGCGATCGGACAACCGTACCGAATCACAAACACAAAGAGGGCCATTCCCTGTAATTAGGTGAGACAATTCCTCAGTCTTTCTCAGCTGGGGTTTGCCGCTAAGACTTGCTGTTTGGATCCCAGCAACACAAGTTACATGTCTCCCTGGGTCACTAATAAGCCCCAAATTGTCTTCCGCTTCACACAGCTCTAACCAGAGGACAGATGCAGGAAGGGTGGCAGGGAGTGAGAGGACAGAGTCTCTAAACAAACAGCTGCGGCAATGTTTTCCCAACTCCAAGGAGCAAACACTGGGGCTGTGGGCACAGCCTGATCCCGTCACTTAGCTGCCACCTGAAGCACTGAGAATTCCAGACCCTCGGGGAAACCCACTCTGCTACTCGCCTCTTCCTGTTTATTCATCACATTCCTTTTGTTACCCTTGTCCCTTCTCCCACCTGTCCACAATGGTGGCATCATGGACAGCTATAGCTGTGGCAACCATCCTGCCACTGCACTGAAGCCCTGTAAACTAGGTACGATGGCAAGGAGAGCACGCCTGGATTCTACTCTCAAAGAGTTCGTGACCTGGAAGGGGCCCTCACTTCCGCTTCCAACGCCATCACCTCTGTGACTTCCAGCATCATCACCTCCATGTCTCTGCCTCTTCCACAGCCCTTGCCTACTATCCCAGTTCTCTCTCCTGGAAGATCCATATTTTTTAAAACTGGAGAGTGGCCCCTCAGCTGCCAGGGCAAACAGCCACCACTGCCTACACTCCATGGGACTCTGCAGTTGGCTCTTAATAAACAGAAACAGCTCCCCCAGGATTGCGGCCCATTACAGGGATTACTGGGGGTGACATAGCCATGAACTTGGTCATAGCCAGGGACAAAGGAATGCAGGGCAGAGTGGCAGTTGGAATCTCAATTAAACTGAAGTTCTGCGCTGAGTTGGACTCATGTATTTTCACCTTTACCCTGTCCTCTGCTTTCTGTTTTAGTCTATGCTTGGTGCTTCTGTAAGTTGCCTCCGATGGCAGAAAACACAGTTATATAGAATCCAAGGAACTTGAAAACTCAAGTAATTAGAGGTGCTTTGTTGGTTTTCCATCCTCCTGAGATATATCTCAGACACAGGTAATGATAAGATTTGACTTTTTAAATAACTTCTGGGAACTATCAAAGAATGGATCCAGATTTGTTCAGTTTCCTATAGTTTCTTTGATGATAAACAGAGCTTAGAACAGTGTCTGGCACATAGTAGCTGCTTATAAAGAAAGGGTGAACTGTGCCACGATCCTCCGTGTTCATAGCTGTGTTGCTAGTCTAAGGTATAGCACGTTGAGCCTGGAGTTTTGGAGAGAGGCAGGGAGGAGCAGGTAAAAGTTGCTTCTCTCTGAGCCTCAGTGTCCTGGGACCTTTTTCACTATAAAGAAACAGCCTAGCATCAGGGACAAGGGCGTAGACCCTGATGTCAATCTGCCTGGGACCAAATCCTGTTTCTGCCATTTACTAGCTGTGTGACTTTGGATAAATTGCTTAACCTCTCTGGGCCTTAGTTTACCCATCTATGGAGTGGGTCCAATGTTAGCACCTAACTAACTCATAGTGTAGTTGTGGAGGTTAAATGAGTCCTTGCAAGTGTTAGAACAGTGTATGGCATGTCTTACCCATTATATAATGGCTTGATAGATATATTTAAAATTGGATTCAATGTAGTATTTAATTACTTATATTCAACGTTTGTCAAAATGTGATCATCCTTATAGGAAATACATGAAAACTTTTGGTTACCTCAACTAGTTGGTTAAGCAGAGCACCTGTTTCTCTAACTCTTTAGGGAGCTGACAGTTTACTAAATACCTCTCCTGTCCCCATCCTTCCACCGTCGGAGGCAGCCCGTGGGCCTGGACGCTTAGCAGATACCACTGTTGATGACATTGAAGACCATTTGCTGCTAATTAGCGACAGGCAAAGGTATTCTTTGTGACATTGTCAGGTTTCTGAACTAAGAGTGAATTTGACATAAGCTTCGCATTGTAATGCTTCACTAGTCTCAATATTCTTCCCTGTTCTTCTCTCTTTCCCTCTTCCTCTTTCTCCCAGTCCCTCCATCCTTCTTCCAAAATCTCCCTGTCCAGGGCTGAGTGGAGTCCACTCAGGCTGCCCCCCCGCCACAATCCCCCCACCAACCGCAGCTTCTCCTCGGGCTTTGCCCTCTCTGGAAGCCCATGGAGAGCAGCCTGGTCTGACTCTGCAGTCCAAGGCCTCAGGGTCAAGCAGGGCTGAAGGTCACACCCCAGGGCCTTCCCAAATGCAGCCAAGCCCAGGAGCCAGTAGCTCCACACAAAGGAGCAGCTGAGAAGAGTCAAGTTGGAAAAGTCATTGACTTGAGGCTCAGTGGAAATGAGATGCGCTGACTGTGGCCGCTGGCAAAGCCCCGGGTGGGGCCACAGGGATGCACGGGGGTCAGGACCAGAAACTGTGTCTGGGGAATGGGCGGCTCTTGGCCTCCTGCTCCCTGCCCCATCCGCCTCTGCTGCTGCCGCTGCCTCCTGCAGACCTCTGACACACGTCCCCTGCTTCCCTCCCAGCCCCATGCACCCCAAACCAACTAGCCCAGAGGTCTTTTGAATGTGTAACTGTTGTGTAAATTTTGGTACATTCACAGAGTGAACTATTCCACTTCGTT